CTGCTGGAGCTGGTTCACTTCAATCAGAAAAACCTTTTTCTTCCTTTTATTTCTGTGCAAATCAAAAATTTGGGGGGAATAAAAGAATTATTTTTGAGCCATTCCTTTCCCTTTGGGATCAAAGAAAAGAACTCCATCGCCAACCACAGCATGGATCAGAAGGCGGCATGAAGATGATCTTTGAGGTCCCTTCCAACCCTAACCATTCTATGATTCTATGAAATGGGAGCCCCTCCACATTGGCAAAGCATCCAATGGACCCAAATCTGGATCACTCCTCGGTCCACAAAAAAAAGCAGCAGGAGCTGTAAGGCAGAGGCCCATCCCCATCCCTGTCTCCATCTCCTGCCCCATCTCCACACAAGGCAAAGCCAGAGCATCTCGACTGCTTCTCCATGATATGGCCAATGGAGGAGACTTCTTAAATGACCTGGATGGCGCAGCCACATGGTCACGGCCAAGCATTCATGAGTCTCTTATTAACACAAGAAGAGTGACTGTTGGCAGCAAGTCTTGACTTAGGAGGCACCTCTTCGATGGTGTCCTGCATCTCCTACCCCAGCAGGAGCTTCCTCCTTGGCATCTGACGAAGGAAAAGAAGGGCCAGTCCAAAGACACACAACCCTGCAGTCATGGCCAGGCAGGGACAACGCTCTCACTCCTGGACAGAAAGGCTTCACAGTTTGGAAAGCTTATTTTCCTTGAAACATAGAGCTCTAAAGAAAGAAAACAGTCCAACAGAAGTCTTCTGAATTTGTTGTTATTTTCTTCAATAAAAAGTAAAAATAAAACATGGCTTTCTTTCACTTGCCCCCTTGTTTTCCATTATCACCCCTTGGTGAAATCTTCCATTTTGGATGAAAAGCCTTTTATTGAAAGGTAGGAGAGCAGGTGGCCTGTGGTGGCCCTCCTTTGGGTATCATCTTGACAGCAACCCCCTTGGCCAACGATGTCTCATCTCCAAAGGGATTTGTTTGCACCACCTTTAGCCTCCCTGCTCAGCCCTGAGCACTGTCAATCTGCTGCTGGGCTCTCCTGTGGCCCTGGAGAAGACACCTCCAGGTGCCTGAGCCACCACCAGTGGACTCACTCTGCTGACTCAGCACAAGGCAGAGATGCCACCCTTGTGGAGAGGGCTGGTTAGAAGAGGTGGGATATGGGAATTGACTGTCACAACACAGCCCAGGAGACACCAGATGTTGGCCAGCTGGGGAAGAACAGCAGAATGGAAAAGCCCAACAGCTCTGGCCTCTCCAACAGGCACCGCCGTGGCCATGTGTCACCTCCTGAGGGGACTTGCCACCCCAACCTCCTGCTGGTCTCACTATAGGTGACCTTAGGATGGTGCACGAAGCTTCTCTGGGGCTGAGACTGGTCTGGAAGGCATCACTCCGACAACGATGCCGTTGGCATCCTCACCCAGCCTGTGGAGCACCAGGGCAGCCATCGACTCACAGTGCGGCTCCTTTTTCCTTGTTTTCTGGCCAAAAAGCAGAGCGGGCGAGAGCTGGGGCAAGTGAGCCATCAGTGGGGTGTAAGGAGGGTCTGGAAGGCACCCCACACATTTCAAGAGGTGAGGATGGACCTCTCCATCTTCAAAAGTCCCAGGGTCAAGACGTGTTTCCTTCCCACGCTGACTCTTGTGGGGCTGCTGAGCAGGACTGAAGGCTTTAAATTGAAGGTTTTAAGTTAAAAAAAGGCCACGGTGCTGTCACATCATCCCCCGGCGCTGAGCAGGGACCAGCTGCCTCCCAGGTGCTGGGGGGGGGACACGCAGCACGGGAGTGGTAAAGGCAGAGTTTTGATATTTAGCCGGTGTCGCTGTCACCCGTTCCCTTTAAATGCCTTTTTGCTTCCTTCTAATAAAAGAGAAATCATAAAAAAAAAAGAAAAAAAACCCCAACCACAAAGGATCCTTCACCGCCGGCGAATACCAATGCGGCGTATTAGTATGCACGGCGCCCGCTCCATCTGCATGTTGTATTTGGTGTGACAACATCCCAGAATACAGATTTGGGCCGTGAGGATCCCGAGAGGTATTAGTGCTCGTCCGTCAGACAGGACGAGGAGCAGTCCCTGCTGTTGTAAACAAGGGGTGGGTTTTTTTTTTTTCCTTGCCTCTTTCTCCCAGGGGGGAGTCGAGTGATTTGAAACACGCTCATTCCTGCCTCTCGTTAGTTCTTGTTCTTCAGGAGAGCAGAGGGTCATCTTCCTTAGACAATTAAAGCAATTAGGTTGGAGGTGTAAAGAGTACCCCGTCGCCAGGGTCAGCTGCCATCCTCCCAAACCAAGCATGGAAAAAAAACCCCAACCACAAAGGATCCTTCACCGCCGGCGAATACCAATGCGGCGTATTAGTATGCACGGCGCCCGCTCCATCTGCATGTTGTATTTGGTGTGACAACATCCCAGAATACAGATTTGGGCCGTGAGGATCCCGAGAGGTATTAGTGCTCGTCCATCAGACAGGACGAGGAGCAGTCCCTGCTGTTGTAAACAAGGGGTGGGTTTTTTTTTTTTCCTTGCCTCTTTCTCCCAGGGGGGAGTCGAGTGATTTGAAACACGCTCATTCCTGCCTCTCGTTAGTTCTTGTTCTTCAGGAGAGCAGAGGGTCATCTTCCTTAGACAATTAAAGCAATTAGGTTGGAGGTGTAAAGAGCACCCCGTCACCAGGGTCAGCTGCCATCCTCCCAAACCAAGCACGTGCTCCCCCAAGGGACAGATGGGGTCCCCCCCCAGTCTGGTGGCCCTGGCACAGAGGACAACGCTCACTGCCAGGACATGGTGGGCAGGAGCTGGCAGTAGGCAGAAGAAGGGCTTGTCCCATTGTCTTTGATGGTGAGGCATATCCATGGCATAGATGGATGCTTGGGCAATCCCATGGTGCAGGTGGACATTGGGCAATCCCATGGTCTAGGTGGACGTGGTGTGCTCCCCAAGGGACAGATGGGGTCCCTCCCCAGTCTGGTGGCCCTGGCACAGGGGACAACGCTCACTGCCAGGACATGGTGGGCAGGAGCTGGCAGTAGGCAGAAGAAGGGCTTGTCCCATTGTCTTTGATGGTGAGGCATATCCATGGCATAGATGGATGCTTGGGCAATCCCATGGTGCAGGTGGACATTGGGCAATCCCATGGTCTAGGTGGACGTGGGGCAACCTGATGGTGCAGGTGGACATGAAGCAATCCCATGGTGCAGGTGAATGTTGGGCAATCCCATGGTGCAGATGGACATGGGGCAATCCCATAGTCTAGGTGGACGTGGGGCAATCCCATGGTGCAGATGGATGTTGGGCAATCCCATGGTCTAGGTGGACGTGGGGCAATCCCATGGTGCAGGTGGACGTGGGGCAATCCCATGGTGCAGGTGGATGTTGGGCAATCCCATGGTGCAAATGGACATGGAGAGATCCCATGGTGCAGGTGGATGTTGGGCAATCCCATGGTGCAGATGGATGTTGGGCAATCCCATGGTGCAAATGGACATGGAGAAATCCCACGGTGCAGATGGATGTTGGGCAGTCCCATGGTACAGATGGACATGGGGCAATCCCATGGTGCAGATGGATGTTGGGCAATCCCATGGTGCAGATGGACATGGAGAGATCCCATGATGCAGGTGGATGTTGGGCAACCTGATGGTGCAGGTGGATGTGGGGCAATCCCATGGTGCAGGTGAATGCTGGCCAAACCCATGGTGCAGTTGGACATGGAGCAATCCCATGGTGCAGATGGACATGGAGAAATCCCGTGGTGCAGGTGGATGTTAGGCAATCCCATGGTGCAGATGGACGTGGGGCAATTCCATGGTGCAGATGGATGTGGGGCACCCTTACAGCAAGGATGACCAAGGGGAAAACCCCACAGCAGAGGTAGACACGAGGCACCCTCATGGCACTGATGGACACGGGCATCCCCACGGCGCAGAGAGATGAGGCCATCTCCACACCACGGATGGACGTGGGGCATCCCCATGGCGAGGATGGACGCGTGAGGAGGACAGAGGGCTCCTTGCACACGTAGGAGGCACCAGGCCACCAAATGATGGTGGGGACCGGTAGCCCCCGAGGCACATCTGGGCAACCTGCCCGTGCCACCGCTTCCCCTGCCACCCGGGTGCCACTTGCTGCCAAGCGCGGCGCCCGCCGGAGCGCGGTGACGGATCGTTACAGCCCGCGCGGAACCGCCTAAGTAAAAGCCTGATTAAGAGTTCATTCATTTTTATAAACTCCCGGCGCAGAGGGAAGTTAGATTGCCCAGTCTTACAATATTCTGTGTAAACACTGACACGCATCCAGCAATTTTAGCGAGATCAATTTGCAAAGGAGAGCAAAAAAAAAAAATAAAAAAAAAGAATGAAATTAAACAACACGGGGAAAGCGTTCAGCGGGAGAGGAAGCCAGCAGAAAAATACAGAGGAGGAGGATGGATGGATGGATGGACAGACGAGACAAAGGGACCTACCTCTGAAGCCGTGCAACCAAAAGTCCGTAAATCGGTATCAAAATCCTTAGGTCCGCAAGACGGGGGGGGTTTTGTGGGGGGTGGGGGAATAAAAAGTCCTCCATAGCCATCTTCCACCGAGGCTCTGGAGGCCTTAGCAGTCTGTTTCCCAGAGCATCTCTCCTCCTTCTCCAGCGGTCACCAAGCCAGTCACCACCACGTAGAGGTTCCTCCGGTCCCGTCCCCGCCGCGCCGGCCGTCCTCCATCCCCATCCGGAGCGCTCGCCTCGCCGTCATCGTCATCGGGGGGTTTCCCCACTCCCTCCCACTCCCGGGGGTCCCCGGGGTCCCCCCCTCTTTCTCCCAGGGGGCTGGGAACCGGCTGGTCTCAGGGGTGGGTGATCTTCACCTACAAACAGGCAGCGAGTCCACAGTAAAGTTGACAAGGTACACACGCGCACGAGCGCACACACACACACACACACACGGGGACACCTCTTTCCATTTTCCAGGATGGATTATTATTATAATCGTTTTTGCGTGTTTGTTCGTTGGTTTGTTTTTTTTTTAATCCTCTTTTTTTTTTGCTTTTTGCAAAAAAAATGCAAGCGAAAGAGAAAAAAAAAAAAAAAAAAAAAAAAGCAACAAAAAAACCCCAAGGTTTTTTTTTCTATTGAAGGTACATCTCTTCTTCAATATGAAGACATTAACTGGATTGAGTCGGATCCCCCATGCAGTGGTCAGCGAAGTCCTTTGGTAGTTGCCGGAGAGCAGGAGGGCAGGGAGCTGCGGAGACGTCCGAGGACATTCCACCCATGGTCCATGAGCAGGGGAGGGGAGCAGGGGGAGCAGGGAGAAGAAGAAGAAAAGAAAAGGAAGGTGGTTTCTCCAGACGGGGGCCGCTCCATCTCGTGCCTCTCCCTTCCCCAACAGCCCCCCCTTTTTTTCCTCCTTTCTCAGTTTTCGACCACTGCTCACTCACGGGTGGTGGGATTGGAGTCTGGTCTCGAGGGTTTGGGTTTGCTTCCCCCAACGCGCATTGGTTTGTCTTCATTGTTTTTTTGTGTTCATTTTTTTTTTTGTGTTGTTTTGTTTTGTTTTTTTTAAATATATGATTTGTACATATTTATAGGTATTTATACGCTGTTCCCCGTGACATCGGTAAGTGTGCTTCTGTTGGCGAGGAACGGAAGTCACCAGTTAAGAGATGAGTCCCAGGAACATCCTTCGCCTGCGGTCACGGTCCCCGGGCAGCGGTGGCACCTCTCCCAACGGGGGGTGCCCCTCAGTTCCTCCCCTCCCACCTCCGCTGCGTGCCCTCCCCGTCCCCTCCCCGTCGAACAAGGGGACGTCATGCCATCGAGGTCGGTGACTGGCTCATCTGGACTCGCATGGACTGGACGCTGTTCAGGATCTTCTTCTGGTGCCCAGCCAAAGTCACCCCTATTCTCAGGAGGTCTCTGGAAGACAGACAGACAGACAGACAGAGGAGTGTCAGTGGGCAGCTGACGGTCGGTTGTATCTGCTTTGCTGAGGGATGGAAGCTCAGCTGGTCCATGCCTTTCAGCAGAAGAACAGCCAAAGAACCCAAGCGTAGCTCTGTGAGCATCACCGGGGGTGAGGTGGGACCAAGAGACGCCCACATGTTGGCCCCCAGATGGTCAACGTGGCCACCTCTAGACCTCCTTCTGCTGCCCAGTGTGATGGATGCTCACACCCTTCCTTTGCAGCTGCCTTGAACCGACCTTCCCAGCTCCCTGCAGCCCCGAAGCACCCCAGGCAGCACCCAGTTTTGGGGCCCAGCACCCAACTCACTCAGATGTCATCTGGGCAACCAGCTGCAGGGAGGTGAAGCCAGCGGTCAAGAAGCTGTCCCGGTACTGGCTCATCTTCACGGCGCTCAGCCAGTCGTCTACTGAGGTAAAGGCAGTGAAGTCGGGGATGGAGCGGTCGAGGAGGGGCTGAGAAGGCCTGCAAGAGGACACGGCGTTGGGGACAAGCCCGGGTGGCCCCGAGGGGCCACCAGGCGAGACCCCAGCCAGTGCATAGAGGTGGAGCCGCTCGGGGAGCCCTGAGGTGGGACTCACACAGCGGTGATGGTAGCCACAGTTTTGAGGCTCGCCGGGTTGCGGATCATCTTGTCGAGGGTGTTGACGATCTCGGCGAAGCGGGGGCGGGTGTTGCGGTCCTTCTGCCAGCAGTCCAGCATCAGCTGGTGCAGGGCGGCCGGACAGTCCATGGGCGGCGGGAGCCGGTAATCCTGCTCGATGGCGTTGATGACCTTGGTGGGGGGGACAAGGAGTTGGGGAGAAAAGGGGGAGATGAGGAAGGTGGGACTCAGAGGTCTCATGGAGTGGGGGGAAAATCAGGAACAGTGTGGGGAGTAGGACTTAGAAGGTGATGGTCCCCCTGGACTGGGCACTGGTGAGGTCCCACCTTGAGGGCTGGGCCCAGTTTTGGGCTCCCTACCCAGGGGGACATCGAGGGGCTGGAGTGGGTCCAGAGAAGGGCAATGGAGCTGGTGAGGGGTCTGGAGAGTAAGTCTTATGAGGAGAGGCTGAGGGAGCTGGGGGTGTTCAGCCTGGAGAAGAGGAGGCTGAGGGGAGACCTTATTGCTCTCTCCAACTCCCTGAAAGGAGGGGGTAGAATAGTGGGGATTGGTCTTTTCTCCCAAGTCACAGGTGATGGGACAAGAGGAAATGGCCTCAAGTTACACTAGGGGAGGTTCAGGCTGGATATTAGGAACAATTTTGACATGGAAAGGGTTATCAGGCATTGGAATGGGCTGCCCAGGGAGGTGGTTGAGGCCCCATCCCTGGAGGTGTTCAAAAGACGGGTTGATGTAGTGCTGGGAGGTATGGTTTAGTGACGGTGTTGCTTTTTGTTTGTTGCGTGGGTGTCTATTTTTGTCAAAAATAGGTTGACAGTTGGGCAAGACGATCTTTAAGGTCCCTTCCCAACCTAGAAGACTGATTCTGCGAAATAAAAACCCCCGTGAGCCACCCCCCCTTGCTCTTCTCCTCTCCTCTCCCCTCCCCGAGCCCGGCTGCCGGCGCTGCCAGCCCCGTTTGATCGCCGGCAAAGGGAGCAGGAGGAGAAGCTCCGGGCTCACGCGGAGCCGGGTGCTCGGGGAGGTTAATCTCTGCTCTGATGCTCGGCGGCGCCGCAGTCCCTCCCGGCGGAGAGCCGCCACTCATTAACTCGGCCGGCACCGGAGTAACAGCAGTCCCGACGACCAAAGCTCTTTCCCCGCTCGCAAACCCTCTGAACATTTTCAAAGGCGCCCCGGCAGCTTGCTGAAGTCCAATTACCAGCCCACTGGATTTTCTTCCCCTATTTTCTCTCCTCTCCCTTCACCAGCCTCTTTCATGGCCAAAGCCAAGTGCCACCGAGGCTCCGGGAAGGAGCAAAAAGCCCTTTCTCCCAGGGATTTCTTTTGGGACATCCTCCCCCAACCCCCAAAACGTCGTGGATGACCCCCAGTGCTTACATCTTGGTTGGACATGTCCCAGTAGGGCCTCTCCCCGAACGACATCACCTCCCACATGACGATGCCGTAGCTCCAGACGTCACTGGCCGAGGTGAACTTGCGATAAGCGATGGCCTCCGGCGCCGTCCACCTCACAGGGATCTTCCCCCCCTATGGAAAAAAAAAAGAGGGAGAGGTCGCTGAGAAACAGCTCCCTTTTGGCAGAGGAGCCCAGACATCAGGGTTGGAGCCATCTCACACAACCCAAGGGCCACCGGTCCCTGGGGACCACGCTGAGGAGGGGACAGGAGGTACCTGGTGGGACAAGGGGGCAGGAGGTACCTGGTGGGACGAGGAAGGCAGGAGCCAAAAACACCTCCATGAATTGATCTTTTATCTCTCTTTCTCTATTTACTGGCACAAAAGGGATTGCCCAAACAAAACAACAGGGTGTCACCCCCAAAATGACACCTCCCCACTCCGGCTGCCCTGCAGGAGCCTGCACATTGGTGGCCTGTCCCCAAGCCCCTTCCCAGGGAGCCATGAGGTGACATGGGTTATGCAGGACAACACACTAGTGCTCATCCCAGGTAAGGAGCCAGAGGTATCTCCATCCCTTGGTCTTCAACGGAAACAAGGTCTAACCCAAGAGCATCCTCCACAGCATCACCTGGGCTGCCACAGCTGCTGGAAGGTCCTTGCAGGCTCACTTTTGGAGCCCTTAAGCTCCAAAGGAGACCTGGAAAGCACTGGAATAAGGAAAGTTTCACCTTTCATCTGCTCTGCTAAAGGCAGCAGAGAGCCCTCCTCGTTTCTCCTCAAAACTCCAAATCAGGTTGGGCATCTCAAGCCGCCCCATCGAGCTGGAGTCCCAGCTCCTGGCAGAGCAGGAAGGAGGGTGCAAGGATGCTACAGAGGGGCAGCAGGGACAGAGGGGCTGCTCCCTGGGTAAACACCACTAAAATAACAGAAAAAGGAAAAAAAAAGAAAATAGGTTGACAGTTGGGCAAGACGATCTTTAAGGTCCCTTCCCAACCTAGAAGACTGATTCTGCGAAATAAAAACCCCCGTGAGCCACCCCCCCTTGCTCTTCTCCTCTCCTCTCCCCTCCCCGAGCCCGGCTGCCGGCGCTGCCAGCCCCGTTTGATCGCCGGCAAAGGGAGCAGGAGGAGAAGCTCCGGGCTCACGCGGAGCCGGGTGCTCGGGGAGGTTAATCTCTGCTCTGATGCTCGGCGGCGCCGCAGTCCCTCCCGGCGGAGAGCCGCCACTCATTAACTCGGCCGGCACCGGAGTAACAGCAGTCCCGACGACCAAAGCTCTTTCCCCGCTCGCAAACCCTCTGAACATTTTCAAAGGCGCCCCGGCAGCTTGCTGAAGTCCAATTACCAGCCCACTGGATTTTCTTCCCCTATTTTCTCTCCTCTCCCTTCACCAGCCTCTTTCATGGCCAAAGCCAAGTGCCACCGAGGCTCCGGGAAGGAGCAAAAAGCCCTTTCTCCCAGGGATTTCTTTTGGGACATCCTCCCCCAACCCCCAAAACGTCGTGGATGACCCCCAGTGCTTACATCTTGGTTGGACATGTCCCAGTAGGCCGCCGAGGTTCCGGGAAAGAGCAGAAAGCCCTTTCCAGCAGGGATTTCTTTTGGGACATCCCCCCTCAACCCCCAAAACCTCGTGGATGACCCCCAGTCCTTACATCTTGGTTGGACATGTCCCAGTAGGGCCTCTCCCCGAACGACATCACCTCCCACATGACGATGCCGTAGCTCCAGACGTCACTGGCCGAGGTGAACTTGCGATAAGCGATGGCCTCCGGCGCCGTCCACCTCACAGGGATCTTCCCCCCCTATGGAAAAAAAAAAGAGGGAGAGGTCGCTGAGAAACAGCTCCCTTTTGGCAGAGGAGCCCAGACATCAGGGTTGGAGCCATCTCACACAACCCAAGGGCCACCGGTCCCTGGGGACCACGCTGAGGAGGGGGCAGGAGGTACCTGGTGGGACAAGGAAGGCAGGAGCCAAAAACACCTCCGTGAATTGATTTTTTATCTCTCTTTCTCTATTTACTGGCACAGAAGGTCTTAGCCAAACAAAACAACAGGGTGTCACCCCCAAAATGACACCTCCCCACTCCAGCTGCCCTGCAGGAGCCTGCACATTGGTGGCCTGTCCCCAAGCCCCTTCCCAGGGAGCCATGAAAAGGGATTGCCCAAACAAAACAACAGGGTGTCACCCCCAAAATGACACCTCCCCACTCCGGCTGCCCTGCAGGAGCCTGCACATTGGTGGCCTGTCCCCAAGCCCCTTCCCAGGGAGCCATGAGGTGACATGGGTTATGCAGGACAACACACTAGTGCTCATCCCAGGTAAGGAGCCAGAGGTATCTCCATCCCTTGGTCTTCAACGGAAACAAGGTCTAACCCAAGAGCATCCTCCACAGCATCACCTGGGCTGCCACAGCTGCTGGAAGGTCCTTGCAGGCTCACTTTTGGAGCCCTTAAGCTCCAAAGGAGACCTGGAAAGCACTGGAATAAGGAAAGTTTCACCTTTCATCTGCTCTGCTAAAGGCAGCAGAGAGCCCTCCTCGTTTCTCCTCAAAACTCCAAATCAGGTTGGGCATCTCAAGCCGCCCCATCGAGCTGGAGTCCCAGCTCCTGGCAGAGCAGGAAGGAGGGTGCAAGGATGCTACAGAGGGGCAGCAGGGACAGAGGGGCTGCTCCCTGGGTAAACACCACTAAAATAACAGAAAAAGGAAAAAAAAAGAAAAAAAAAAGCCAAGGGAGGGAGGAAAAGCACAGACAGGCAGGGTAAATCCTTTAGAGCAATTGTTTTCCATAGCCCTTCCGACGAAAGCGTCAGCTGCTCTTGAAGGATGAATGGCAAAAAAAAAAAAAAAAGTGATTTGAATAACCACAAATGGAGAAATTAACTGCTAGGTTGTTTTTCCCCTGCCTTTTCCCCAGAGCTAAAAACCTGCTGTGGGAGGCAGAGTGATGTAATCGCAGGCACAGCATCATTTCCCAGCTGCCGGGGAGATCTATTATGGCCTAAATTAAATAAAAACACAGATGAGAGAATCTCTTTTATCTCTAAAGGTGGGGAAAGGCTACTCCATGCCTTCAGCCCAGCAGCTACTGCCCGGGGGGCTTTGAACAAATCATAAATGACGGGTGTCTGCAGGAGGGGCAGGGGGGAGGAACACCCCGGGAGCAGGGGAGGGAAGAGAGAGGGGGTGCAGAAGGGGCCAAAACACAAAATCAGCCCCAAAAACATGTCATCCTCATCCCCTTCTCCTCTGCTCATCCTGAACACCAACAAGGGTCCTGTGAGCCAGCTGAGCCATGGCAAGGTGGGGCTGGAGGGTCCCCAAGGGCGGCGAGGAGCAAGGGGACAGTGGGGTTGCCATTACCCAGGAATGAGTTAATTAAGGAGGAGAAGGGCGGTTGGGGAACAGGGGAGCTCCCGTTAAGCCTGGCTCTTTAATTAATGCCTGGAACAAGTTTCCAGCAGCGAAAAGGCAGACCAGACCTGGAGCGCTGGAGGAAGGGGGAGTTAAAACGCCCTGGCTGTGCCTTCAGGAGATGCTGTGATCTCCTTGTCTCCCCTTCCCGGTCTCTCCAGGGACTCCTCCAGGCACCTTCCCTCCACGGAGGATGGAGAAGAAGCTTATCTGGAAACTGCTGGGGACAGAAAGGTGCTCGGAGGGAGGAGAGAGGCAGAAAACTCATAAAAGGCCGGAAGAAGAAGGAGGGAAAAGAGGATGATGGGTGGGTAGCACAGCCGGGGTCTCCAGGCCACGAGCCTACATGGTGGGTTCCTCCAGGCACCTTCCTGATGATGGTGCTGAGGATGGAGAAGAAGCTTATCTGGAAACTGCTGGGGACAGAAAGGTGCTCGGAGGGAGGAGAGAGGCAGAAAACTCATAAAAGGCCGGAAGAAGAAGGAGGGAAAAGAGGATGATGGGTGGGTAGCACAGCCGGGGTCTCCAGGCCACGAGCCTACATGGTGGGAACCCTCCTGAGATGCTTCCACCAGCACCGGGTCTCCAGGCCACGAGCCTACATGGTGGGAACCCTCCTGAGATGCTCCCACCAGCACCAGGAGGCTCTGGGGTGTACGTCCAGCACCTCTCTCCCAGGTCCACCTGGCAGTGGGTGCGGGGCAGGCAGAGGAGATGCTGGGCAAGATGAAATCCCATGAGAGGTACCTACCAAGGAGCTGGTGTAGGTGGGGTCGGACGTGTCGTCCTGCAGGTAGCGCGAGAGGCCGAAGTCCGACACCTTGCACACCAGGTTGCTGTTGACCAGGATGTTCCTGGCAGCCAGGTCTCGGTGCACGTAATTCATCTCCGCCAGGTACTTCATCCCGGCGGCGATTCCTCTGAGCATCCCCACCAGCTGGATCACCGTGAACTGCCCGTCGTTTTGCTGCCCATGGAGAAGAACAGGCACGAGGGATGAGCGTGCAGACCCCAAACGCGCGACCACAGCCGCTCACCTCCAACCTTGGGAGGATGCTGCACCTCCTCAGAGAACTACCCAACGGCCCTGCCCTGTCGGCTTAAAGCAGAGGTGTGCCAGCACCTAAAGATGTGTTTTGGGGTGTGTAGGGGACACTGCCACCAGCTCCTGAGCCACCTGGGATGGGATGCCAACATCTCACTCCCAAATCCCACCACTGAACATCAGCCCGCCCGGCCCCACCTCGCCTTACCCGCAGGAAGGAGTCCAGGGCCCCGTTCTCCATGAACTCTGTGATGATCATGACGGGTCGGCTTTTGGTCACCACTCCTTCCAGGCGGATGATGTTGGGGTGGTCAAACTGCCCCATGATGCTGGCCTCGCTCAGGAAATCCCGGCGCTGCTTCTCAGAGTAGCCAGCTTTGAGGGTTTTGATGGCCACGTAGATCTCCCGCTTGCCGGGCAACTTCAGGCGTCCTTTATACACTTCTCCAAACTCCCCTGCAAGTGCAAGAGACCATCCGCTGCCGCCTCCTCCTCCTCCTCCTCCTCCTCCTCCTCCTCCACATAAAGCATTGCAAAGAGTGACGGCACCTTGAGAGCTTTGGTCTCCAAACCAACCAGCTGAGAAACGTCAGCCGGTTAACACTTCAGCAGCGCTTTCATGTGTTTTGGGGTGTGTAGGGCACACTGCCACCAGCTCCTGAGCCACCTGGGATGGGATGCCAACATCTCACTCCCAAATCCCACCACTGAACATCAGCCCGCCCGGCCCCACCTCGCCTTACCCGCAGGAAGGAGTCCAGGGCCCCGTTCTCCATGAACTCTGTGATGATCATGACGGGTCGGCTTTTGGTCACCACTCCTTCCAGGCGGATGATGTTGGGGTGGTCGAACTGCCCCATGATGCTGGCCTCGCTCAGGAAATCCCGGCGCTGCTTCTCAGAGTAGCCAGCTTTGAGGGTTTTGATGGCCACGTAGATCTCCCGCTTGCCGGGCAACTTCAGGCGTCCTTTGTACACTTCTCCAAACTCCCCTGCAAGTGCAAGAGACCATCCGCTGCCGCCTCCTCCTCCTCCTCCTCCTCCTCCTCCTCCTCCACATAAAGCATTGCAAAGAGTGACGGCACCTTGAGAGCTTTGGTCTCCAAACCAACCAGCTGAGAAACGTCAGCCGGTTAACACTTCAGCAGCGCTTTCCTCTATAAATCCACTCCCCTGTTCTCTTTAAAAGGGGCAATTTCTGCTGCCGAGGACGCGTTTGGGCTTTCGCAACCTTCTCCAAGGTGGCAGAGCCCAGCACCGACAGAAGCAGAAGCTGGGGCTGCTCTTGCCAACCCCCAGGAGAAGGATGTGCAGAGCAAGAGCGTCAGTGTTTAAGGACTCTGTTTAATGCTTATAATGCATTGTTTAAGGACAATGTTTCATGCTTATAAATAATTCAAGGGTGGGTGTCAGGAGGATGGGGCCAGGCTTTTTTCAGTGGTGCCCAGTGACAGGACAGGAGGAAATGGGCAAAAACTGGAACATACGAAGTTCCACCTAAACATGAGGAGGAACTTCTTCACTTTGAGGGTGGCAGAGCCCTGGAAGAGGCTGCCCAGGGAGGTGGTGGAGTCTCCTTCTCTGGAGACATTCAAACCCCACCTGGACACGTTCCTGTGGGACCTGCTCGGGGTGGACCTGCTTTGGCAGGGGGTTGGACTCACAAACGTTAAGGTGTTGGCGCCAATAATCTCAGTTGCCTTCTTGCACCTCACTTACCTTGGAATGGAAGATAATTGGGCCGTTCTCATTGTTGCCCTCTGACTTAAAACCCAGAGAAAGCACCCTCTCATTTTCGGAGGGAGAGCTTTTCCTGCACTGAGGCACAATTTGCCCATGGGGGGATTACGTTTAAGCCTGGTTTGCAGCCACTTTGCCTTGATGAGCAGCAAAGGATGGCTGATCCATCGCTGAACTTGATCCCCACCGAACCAGCTCATGGCTTGTTTGCAGCTTCCCCCCCCCCAGCTTCTCACTTTCTCTTCCAGGAGCGCGACACGGTTATTTAAAAATGGCAATAAAAGCAGTACAGATGACATAGAGATACATGCATATATACATATGTATGGGAATATGGCAGAGATTAGAGCGAGATCTGGCTTTTCCTTGTTATCTCATGGAAAAGGCAATTAGGAAACCCCCAGAGGCCCCGCAGTCACCCAGAGAATATGTTCTTGGAGCCTTTCCCATCTCAGAGGAACTCGGAGAGCAGAAACCAACCTCGTGCCCACCCTAGCCCACCAGAAACCCAGGAAAACCTGATGTATCAAGGCTTCCTTGAGGCTTTCCTGGTGAAGGACCAGGTGTGCACCCCCAGAAAATTGCTCCGGGTGGGTGCGTGGCCAGGCAGGAGCGAGAGAGAGGGATGGTGAGACCCACCTGCTCCGATGACCTCTTCAATCTTCACAAAGGACACATCGATCTCCTTGGCGAACTCTCGGACCGCCTCGTTGGGGTCCTCGTAGGTGAAGGGGTCGATGTAGATCTTCATCCCCGGAGACCCTTGTCGTGGGGAAATTGGGAGCGATGGCAAAAGGGGGAGAAAACCAAGAGCAATTAAATTCCGTGGCCAAGAACTGGAGATCCCCATGTCCTCATGCTCTCCATACACCCATTAAGACAGTGGCTATTGCTGTGCTCACCTACACTTCCTCCAAACACCTTTATTGTCCTCTTTGGTCGCCCTACTCCACCCAAAACTCCCCTGCACCCCCTCTTCTTCCTCTCTGCCCTCTGCTCTCCTCCGTTATCCTTCCTCTTCCTCCTCCTCGCTGACGGGGAGCAGTTACAGACCTGACCTACAATTAGCTGGCGGTACGGGGAGGGCTTTACGAGGCTCCACGTGTTAGCGAAGAAATATTTATTTACCCAAAAAGGCCTCTGATAGTTTTGTGGCCGCTACTAAATTGACAGAGTGCAGCAATTATAACCAACAACCTGTCTGGAGCCATAAAAGACAGCTTTGCTGGCCTCCCTGACAAGCCTGTGGGGACAACGAGAGGCAGCAGGATCTGGCCATGCCGCAGGGAGATGCAGCCAGCATCTCTTGCCCTTTTCAGATGGGGGACAAACCAAAACAGCCCCCCACATCCCCCCAACTGGGGCTTGGAGCCATCGTGTTTGGATGCCCTGGGGCTTGCAGGGCATGGCCACGAGGCAGCGTGGCCACCGCTGTCCCCAGGGCTCAGCCAGGTGCCAGCATGATACTACGGTCCCTCAGGGGGGTCCCCACCGCAGGGAAATGAAGCAAGCATCTCTTGCCCCCCCTCTTGCCCTTTTCAGATGGGGGACAAACCATGCCGCAGGGAGATGCAGCCAGCATCTCTTGCCCTTTTCAGATGGGGGACAAACCAAAACAGCCCCCCACATCCCCCCAACTGGGGCTTGGAGCCATCGTGTTTGGATGCCCTGGGGCTTGCAGGGCATGGCCACGAGGCAGCGTGGCCACCGCTGTCCCCAGGGCTCAGCCAGGTGCCAGCATGATACTACGGTCCCTCAGGGGGGTCCCAAAGAGGGGCTGTGGTGTCCCCTTTGGAGGCTCAGCCGTTCCTCACCCAAAAAGGGGACCAGGGGTGGCTCAGCAGCCCCTCAAGGTCATCCCTGGAGGAGACCGGGAGGGACACCACCAACTGGTCCTCCTCCCTGAGGTACCTCAGCATTACTGTGATTAACAGGGTTTGATTACACCGTTAAGGACCTCGATCCCATCATGCTGGTGCTTCCTGAAGCCTTTCTAGATACGATCCACATGAGAACACAGACCACGGCATCGCCTCTGCGTGGCCCTTTGCAAATTTGCCGGTGAGTAATTCGGGAGGAGGAGCACAAAAGCCTCCCAGCTGGTGCTTGCAGGGCCCCCGGGGCTGGGGAGGAACCAGGCAGAAGCATCCTCGTCCCCCCCCCCCAAAAGGGGCATTTGGGGCAAAAGCTCTGCGCCTGGGAGCAGGGCGCAGAACGGAAGGCTGCAATGAAGCCATCTGTGCATCTCCCAGTTCATAAATCCCTTTACGGCTCTGTCTCATACACTTTAACTGCCCCATAAATTTTTTTACAAGAGCAGCTGATGCTCCAGCCAGGATTACAAAGGGATTTACAGGATCGTAACCGAGACTGACTCACTGATCAAAATATTGAAGAAATAAAGGAGACAATTACGCCAAAGTTTCCTGCCCACCGTCAACACCGGCGGGTTTTCAAACACCTTCTAATGAGCCCCAGGGTCTGTCCGTGGCTCAGCTTCTCCCTAATCCCCATCCCATCCAAATAAGGGGGATCAGGGCACCCAAACCCATTACTCTTCTCTACCGACCTCAGCCTCGGCGAAGGCTGGGTGAAATGCCGGGTCCCAAAACGCAGAGTCAAAAGCAGCCCACGCTGAGCCTGCCTGCAAAGAGAGCACTCTAAAAAACCACCCCAGAACTCCCAGAAACTGGATTAGGCCATTTATCACTTCTGTAGAAGGTGGCAAATTTTTTTATCACTCTTCCACAGTCAAAGCATTCGGGACCACGACCCCAACTCCAGCGCTGGATTCCTGCCCGACACCGTTTCCCCTTGGGAATAAATACCATGGGGACAGAGAAAAACCTTCCAACAGGGCAATCTCCCTATTTCCCCTACCCCAAAGCTCCTATGAAACAGCGGCAGAGATAAAACATGAGAAATTACAACCTGAGAGACCCCATCTCACCCCAAACCCCCCCCTTTTCCCCCCCCCCGGGGTAGTCCCCTGCCGACAGCAGGCAGCCAGCGATCCCCGGCGGGGGGGTTCCCGGGAGGGATGGGGGAGGCCGTAATTGCTGTGCTGCTAAACACAGGGGTGATTTGTTCCAGAGGATGCTCTCGTTACCTCCATTAGTCACTCGCCACAAATTTCCCACCTGTTTTGCTCGAGCATCTGCAATCACCCGGCGCCTGGAGGCTCGCTAACCTTGAAAGGGTTTTGCCGTGCCCCATCCTCACGTCGCCCGGCTTTAAAAACCAACCTGGGCTGAACACCCAGGGTTTTGGGGTGCCTGAGGGTGGGCAATTGTTTCAAAACAGGGGGAAAAAAAAAGAAAAAAAAAAAAGTCCACCTGCAGCCCAGCATGGGTTGAGCCATCAGGCATCAAATAAATCTTCCCCCGCCACCCACGGTGCAGGAGCGCGAAGAGAAGGGGGAGGGAAAGCACAGGTCCATCTTGTTTAAGTACCACCCGGTGATGTTTGGAAAACAGTTTATGGTTTGCTGGGAGGTTCACAGCCCTCCCCCCCACAGCCCCTCCAGCACGTTGGGAGGGTTGGGTATGAAGCTGAGAAGGTCAAAAGAGACCTAGCGTGTGGCTGCCGGCTTGGCTGGGATCTCCTGGCTGCCTCCAAACATTTTTCTTCCCTGTGAGCCCTCACTTTTTCCTCTGCCAGGCTCATGGCTCCATCCTCATCCCTCCCCTCCGCTCATCCATCCTTCCCCAGCCATCCTTCCCCATCCTGGAGCCATCCCTTTTCCCCAGGGATGGTTTCTTCCCACAAGGCAGCAAAATGCACCTGGGAGACACCTCTAGGAGAGCACAATTGGGATTTACATCCCATGGGGACAGGGCACGGAGCCTGTGGGCACCAGGTGGCAACTCCTCACCCTCTGAAGCTGCTGCTGGGCTGCTTTATTATCATTTCCAGCCGGGAGCTGGAGGAGCACCTGAGCACACACCACACACAACGGACGCCTCCAATGTATCCTGCTGAGCAGCCCCACCAACCGCAGAGGTATCTTAGGAAAAGGCCCTTCAAGCTCAGAATCACAGAATCTTCTAAGTTGGAAGGGACCTTAAAGATCATCTTATCCAACTGTCAACCTGACTGACAAAAATAGACACCCACACAACAAACAAGGAGCATCATCACTAAACCAGACCTCCCAGCACTACATCAACCCGTCTTTTGAACACCTCCAGGGATGGGGCCTCAACCACCTCCCTGGGCAGCCCAT